GGCCGCGCCTTGTCAGCCCCCGTCACCCGCGGCCGACTCGGCCACGCTGCCCGGCAGCACCGAACGTGGTGGCTCTGCCGGGGACACCCACCAGCTGGCCGGGACGCTCAGCTCAGCTGCGGTCCTACTGACTCCTCTCCAACTCCCAGCCGATGCCAGGGACAGGCACTGTCCCCACACCTGCACAATCCGGTCCTTCGGCCAAAGGACTCCTCCAGCAGAAGGAAAGCGCTATGCCAAACCGCCGTACTGCTACACACGGTCAGTCTTCTTAACGTCTCCATAGGTTAGAAAGCCCCGGTCATGGCAACTGAAGAGGACTGAACTGGCTAAATCTTACGTTATTTTGTCCTTACTAGGCTGATGTTCACAAATCCACAAACCTCTGATGCAACCCGTTCCTACCCTCCAACATAAGAGGCTTTGGGTGCACAGCTTCTGAGTAATTTCAGAGTTTTTGCGGTATTCAGACACCCCCCCAGGGCACGAACGCTGTGTTTTGGGTGGCATTAAAAGCGTCGCAATGCTTCCTCACAAAGGAGATGGATTAATGGTGGAATGTGAAGTCTGCCCATCTTCCCGACAGCAGGAACAGCCAGTAACGACGCAGACCCCCCGACCCGACTGCTGCTCTCGCAGCTGACAGCAGTTGGGGGCAAGAGGAGCGTGGCTCCCGGCGTCGCATCCATTACTCACGTCCACTGCAGTTGGCAAACGGGCTCCTAAAAAATAAACACTCTGCTTGGGAAGTAAATGACATTTGGGGAAAATAAAAATGAAACAAAACTCTAACGTTCTGCGGGTGCAGAACCTGCCGCTGCATTCACCCCTGCCCCAAAACCCTTCGAGAAAAGCTAACCTTTCACTAACAAAGCTCGAGTCCCTACAGCTGCGACGGTAACTGCTCAACAGCGGGCTGAGCATCAGCAGTCGCCGAACTAGGAAGCAGCCATGGAGGCACAGTAACTTTTATATCATATTATACCTCTTCCGTGATACATCCGGTGGGAGAGGAGAGGAGAAGCTGCCCCTTTTGGGGATGATCTGGGGCATGGTGGCAGCTTAAAGTCTCTTCCACAGGGAAGTATGGCAGCAAGGAGATCATTGTGCATGGGGCCGGCAGTGATTCCTGTCAGGGAAATCCAGCTGCCACGGGGCCAAACACAGCGAGGGGCTGGGGTCCCCCGCTCTGTCTGAGCTGCAGCTGCCCCACTGATCCTCGTGAGGTTTAAAATCATCAGAATCGACCCCGAGGAACAAGCGTAGGCATCCTCAAGCATCTCATCCCTGCCGCCAGCAGGCAGCCCGACACCCAGCTCCTCGGCCAGAGCAGATGGCAGGACCTGGGGCAGAGGCTGATGGTGGGGGCACAAGATAAGGCACTTCAGGATATGGTTTAGTAGGCATGGTGGTGTTGGGTGGATGGTTGGACTCGATGATCTTTGAGGTCTTTTCCAACCTACGATTCTATGATTCTAAGATGTGAATTCTGTGCAGAGTCACCCATGCTCCTCAGGCTTCTGGACACCAAGCTCCAGACTGCTGCCTGCACAGTCGCGTTGCAAGAGCCTGTCACTGCACCGTGCCCTGTAGAGCTGGTGCAGCCCAGAAGGAACCCACACTTCTGAACATTCAGCACAGGCACTGCTTTCTTGCAGCGTCGTGCTCCGAGTTAGTAGCCGGCAGCTAAGAGGAGCAAAGCACTCTCTGAAACCCGGCGGCGGTACGCCCTGCTATACACGGCTCATTTCGGCGCTGCATTCATCCACCGACACCGGAAGCCTGCACGCGGCGCTGGGCTCCCGAGTGAAGGGCGGGGGACGCAGGGGGGGCAGCCCGGCG